TAACTGGCCGCCGCGTAAGGGTGCCCGTGGCGAAAACTAACGAACGTTTATCTTGGCGACCGAATATAATTAATAGTAATCATTGCTATAATAATAACAATATTCATGAAATTAAAGGAAACGGCTTGCGCCCTCCCCGAAAAATGAAGTTTGAAGGTTGGGTGAGGGGGGGGGGGGGTAGTCGGCGCACACGTGATGATCTCATTTCCGCCGCCGCGACACTCTTTCGCCTGCCGAGCGTGAGCGTGGGCGTGGCTATTGCGGTACCCGGCGATAAAGTTGATTGCTCTATTTTAGCGGCCGGTCGGCTCGGCCGCGGCGGTGCGGTACCCCCTGGTACTCCCTGGTACCCATACCTCACCCACCACCGTCCGTCACCCTCACCCACTCCCCTGAGCTGTCGTAATATCCGCCGTCTCAGGAGATTCCTTATCATCGCCCCTACCCGCGCCTCCCCAGGTCGCCCCGGCCCGCTGCCGCCGTCTCCCACTCACCCCCCCCCCCTTACACACAGATCAAGGACCAAAAGCGACAGGACGACTTTCTCCGTCGACGAAAAACTACTCGCCCGACTAGTGAGGGGGAAGTCGACGGCCGGCAGCAAAGCAACCTCCCCCTCCCCTAACCCGACCCTCTCTTTAGTGATTGAGGAATGGCCCGCAGCGCCTGCCATGCCGCCGCCGGCGCGGACAAGAAGACCACGGCCAAGAGAATAACAAGAGGAATACATACAAAAACTCTCCCTCGCCCCGCCCCGCCCCGCCCCGCCTCAGTAGCTCGCCGGCCTCGCCCCGCCGGCCCGGCGCGTATGTACGCAAACTGTAAGACGCGCGCAATTTTTCTCCCGACTCATATATCACCCGCACTCTCGCTTTTTCGTCCGGGGCGGGCGGGTGGGTGGGACGACGGGCTAGGAGTAGAAGTGGTAGCAGTAGTAGTAGTAGTAGTAGTCGACTCGGCGGGCGGGGCGGGGCGCGTCGTCTCGGGGGCGGCGCAGCGGGGGCGGGCGGGGGGCGGTAGCAATAAAGCAGTAATAGATGAAGGGGATTTGTTTGTCGGAGCGCGGCCTCCCTCCCGCCTCCCGCCGCCTCCGAGCTCCTCCTGCCCTCCTCCTCCCTAGTCGCACGGGCGCTGCGGTGCCGGGGCGGCCAGAGCTTGCGGGCAGGATGAGAGGCTGACCACAACACTACGCGCCCCATATCTCAATAATTATGATTTGGGGCGAAGCCAGCGTCGGCGGCGAGCGCGCGGGTTTCCATCCTGCTCAGCTCACCCCCACCCCATCCCCCTCCACGTCGGGACACTCTCGCTCTCCGTGTCCGCTCCTAACAGCCCCTGGGGGGCGGCTCGGCTGCTGCTGCTTCTGCCGCTGGCTTTAGCAGCGCCAGACGATCAAACGGCGATTTGTTGGGATTTATGGGGGTGGGAGGTGGTGGTGGGTATCCCGGGGTACCCACCATACCCCGGCGGCACCGAGTGGCGCCGCCAGCCCGGCCCACCTACCTACTGAGGGGGTAAGAAGAAGAAGAAAGACGGTGGGAAGTCACACATTCATCGCTGAACGCAAAAAACAATAGTTGTTACTTAAAAGTACTAAGGGTGAAACAGGCACTGATATTTATTTTCAAAAGATGGTCACGAACGATACTTTCTGCCCCTTCTTTCCTTTTCCGTGGAGTATCACATTGATCTTGCCCAGGCACCTGCCCAACGCTCCTGCCCGCCTTGTTTCGCCTTCAGCACCTCCGCCGCCCACACGCTCATCGTAACTCTGGTCGCGAGGCCGGTCCTGGGGGCGGCGCGGGGCTGGGCGGGCGCGGCAGGGCGGGGGAGCTTCAGGAAAAAGCGTCACATGCTCATGGGAGGCGGTCTTTGATCCCGACGCGAGTGGAGGTGAGAGGCCGCGAGGCGGAGGAGGTGGCGCGGGGTGGCACACGATACGACAGCGGCGAAGGGCATTGATTTGATTTATCGGGTGTAGTGTGCAGCACGTTGGACAAACGGGCGTGGGACAGAGACAGAGCGCGGCGGGGGGCGGGGCGAGCC